AAAAAAAAAATGAAAGAATAAAAAACAAAACTGAACGGAGCTGTGAGACAACTTCAAGGATCCTAATTACATGTAATTAGAGTCCTGAGAAGGGGTTGAAAGACAAAAAATAATAAAGAAATAAAGGACAAAATTTTTCCAATTTTTTTTGTAACAGGGTTTCACTCTATTGCCCAGACTAGAGTAAGTGGTGTCATCATAGCTCACTGCAACCCCAGACTTCTGGGCTCAAGCGATCCTCCTGCTTCCGCTTATCCAAGTACTAGGATTACCAGTATGAGTCTGCCCAAAATGTTTCCAAATTTGATGAATACTATAAGCCCACAGATCAAAGGAGCTCAATGAACCCCAAGCACAAGAAACGTGAAGAAAAATACACCAAAGCATGTAGTATTAAAAGTGTCCAGAAGCAGCAACAAAGAGAAAATCTTAAAAGCATCCCAGCAAAAAAGCACCTCCAGAAAGACAAAGATAAGGATGGTGTAAGGTTTCTCATCAGAATCGATACAACCAGGGAGACAACGGAACGACGTCATTAAAGTATTGAAATTTTAAAAGCTGCAGAACCTAGGATTCTATGCCCACAAATACAGTAGCCCCCTCTGATCCAAGTTTTTTATTTCCACAGTTTCAATTACTTCTGTTCCACCATAGTCCAAAACATAACATATAAAATTCAAGAAATAATTTGTAACTTTTAAATTTCATGCAAGTCTCAGTAACATAATCTTGAGCCATCCTGGTTCTGCCCCTTCAGGGCCATGAGCCATTTTTGTCCAGCATATCCACCCGGTATGGGCTACTTGCTCTTCATCACTTAGAAGACAGCTCAGGGATCAGATTGAAAACGCACAGGGCCTGGTGCTTTCCTCAGTTTCAGCATCCATGGGGGGTCTTGAGACATGACTCCGCAGATAAGGGAGGACTATAGTACCTTTTTAAAATAAAGGCAGAACAAGGATATTTCCAGATATATAGAAGCTTCAAGAATTCATCACTAGCAGATACACACTGAAAGAAAGGTTAAAAGAAGTCCTTTAGGCAGAAGAAACGTGATACTAAGTGGAAATATGTTTTGAACTTTTGCATAGTGTCCCTCCATTTGCCAGTCAAAAGTTCAGTTTGGCAATACTCCAACACGTTGTATAAACGGTGTTTGTGCGAGTTATCTGTAAGGACGGAGAGCTGGGCAGTTTTATTCTGCCCCTGTTCAGGATTCAGCACAGCAGTGGGTCAGGCCTCAACTGCGAGGGACATAATTAGCCTGTCCAGCATCATTTCACATCTTTTAGAAAGAGGGGAGAGAAATGTAAAGACCTGATATCAGTGATGAAATGAACCATTTTCATAAACTTTATGCAGAAGAGCCAAGGACAGAAACATAATGCACATCAATATAGACTGGTCATAGCTCCGCACCTGTAGCTCAGCGGCTAGGGCACCAGTCACATACACCAGTGCCCAGGCCTGCTAAACAACAACAACTCTAACAATAACAACAACAACAAAAATAGCCGGGCATTGTGGTGGGCGCCTGTAGTCCTAGCTACTTTGGAGGCTGAGGCAAGAGAATCACTTAACCCCAAGAGTTTGAGGTTGCTGTGAGCTGTGGTGCCACAGCACTCTACCCAGGGCGACAGAGTGAGACTCTGTTTCAAAAAAAAAAAAGAAAAAGAAAAAGAAAAGGATGGTTATTTGTGTTCAATTGTAAAGGACAAAGTTAAAATGTTCAAAATATTGGAAATAGTATAATATCAAAGATTATGCATAAAAGGCAGGGTAATTAGAGATATTAGATATTTTTCACTTTCAGAGAAAGGAACTTTTTCTACCTCCAACTTAGGCAGTCTATTGTTGACTCACAGAATTAGACTCACGTATACCTACTGTCACAAAACGTTATACAGAAAAGTTAAAAAGTACTCTAGGGCTACCGTCCCGAAGCCCCAGGCCACTAGTACTGGTCCGTGGCCTGTTAGGAAGGGGCCACATGGCGGAGGTGGGCAGCAGGAGAGTGAAGCTTGTCTGTATTTATAGCCACTCCCCACCACCCACCGATTCTGCATTATGGTGAGTTGTGTAATTATTTCATTATATATTACAATGTAATAATAATGGAAATAAAGGGCAAAATTAATGTAATGTGCTTGAATCATCCCAAAATCATTCCCCTGAACCCAGTCATGGAAAAACTGCCTTTCATGAAACCGGTCCCTGGTGCTAAACGGTTGGGGCGGCTGCTCCAGGGTAGTTCTCCTTTCTGTCATCTTGTTCTTCCATCTTCACAGACACTTGGTGCAGAGGAAACTGAGCAGTTTGTTAATGATTAGGCAAGCGTGTGGTCAACGATAATGGTTCATGTCAATAAAACTGGAAAAAATTCAAGAATTCTTTGGACATAAAATTAACAGCATTCACAGCCATGAACTGCAGCATTTCACTCTTGCGATGATAACCATTCCTGTAAGTTTCCACCGACTATTAGAATTTCAACATATAAAATATAAAAAGGTTATTTCTGAAGATGATGGTTCAGATATTAAAAATGACTCTGAATGACGTGCTTTGCTTGTCTGTCTGACTTGTTAGATGTACTAAACACCTCCATTCATTCAACAAATATTTATTGATCATGAAAAAAAAATTCAAGAATTGTACTTTACAACACCAGTGCTCACTGATGTACCAGAATTCAAGAACATTTAAGACTTTGACACAACTTAATTTTCCTTGCCTTTCTGTCTGCTCCCCACTGCAGTTACCTGGGGTTTCTGGAGTTTCCTCTCCTTGTCTAGTTTCTGGAGGAATTCTGGCTCCTGCAGTTTCTTTAGTCCCACACGGCGCTTTGGCTCCAGAGGAAGCTGGTTTAGCCTCCCTGTGTGGAGCACCTCGGGGCTCGGTTTGCTTTGATAATCAACGTGGAACTGCTTCAGGATGAACTCTTCATCGATGTTTGAACTTCCCTAGAAGAATAACAGCACCTTGCAGGACTCGAGGGCGAGTGGTGACACGCCTTGATTTCTTCTTTAGTCTAGGGCGGTGTTTGTCAAGCTTTTTCATCTCCCAGCACACTATGACCTACAGCTAAACTTCCACGGCACACTTAAATTATGTCAGTCAAAGAAAAAAAAAAGAGTAAAGGAAAGAATATACTTACTGTGCTTTGAACTTCTTTTGAAGATAATTTAATTAATGGTCTTTAAAAAATTTTCCCAGCATACCCTAAGATCCTGTCATAGCACCAGCGCGCTTGGCATACTGGTTGAAAATTGCGGATCTAGGAAATTAATCTAGTTGACCATTGCTGGGGAAGAGACAGTTTGGAGGAGAAGCAGAGAATCCCCAGTGGGTGTTCACTGAGAAGAAGTACGCCCCACCCAAGGGACTGTAACAAACTGGTCAACACAAGGAGGTGGTCAACATAAGGAACTAGGCCAACTGTACTAATAGGTACATGTGGTGGTGATGTCCCATCTACGAAAATTAGGTCAACACAGGCTCGGTGCCTGTGCTCAAGTGGCTAAGGCACCAGCCACATACACCTGAGCTGGCGGGTTCAAATCCAGCTCGGGTCCACCAAACAATGATGGCTGCAACCAAAAAATAGCTGGGCATTGTGGC